AATTTACCAGACTATTGAACAACTAGAAAAAGTGAAAAAAATACTTCTTATTGCCAGCATAAATGCGCAATTATTTTTTTTACAGAAAAAGTAATTTTTCACCCTTGATTAAGTAACGGGTCATAGAATGCAGATACAGGCATGGCAAACACACCTTTGTAAAGCTTGAAGTCTGCCGATTCTAAAAATATATACTTTCCTGGGTCTATTTGTACTCATTTGGTCACAATTAGAAGATGAAAACAAGTATGCAAACAAGTCATTGAAAATGACACAGTCCCCGTTAAGTTCTCTTTGTGCTCGTCATATTAAAGTGGAGGGGTTGTCTCGAGCGTGTCCTTGAAACTTGAGTTCCAAGTGGCGTATACAACAGATTGTTTATTTACATCAAAACATGTGTTTCGTGTAGTAGTAATATGACCAAAAATAAAAACAGCCGTTATTCAGCCATCTTTGATCTGATTATGAAACACACTGATATGTATGATGTACATGTATGTGCCAAATACGAATGAAAATAGTGCATAAATTGTGGAAATATAGTAGTAAGGCCAAAAAGTCAGATGGCTGTCAATCGGCCATACTTGACCAGATTTTGAAACAAATTGTCAAGGACATGCATCCTAACATGTATAAAGTACATGCCAAATTTGAATGAAAACTGACAGAGCACGTCCAAAATACCACATTTTCAAAAAACAAGATGGCTGCCAGTCGGCCATTTTGAATCGAATCGCTAAACCACTTCATGTGCATATGTCCCACATAAGGTACTAAGCACATGCAAAGAATGAACGGAATCGGTCCACAGGATTCTGAAATATGACGTTGGATAGACTGACGCACGGACAGACGGACACATGAATGGTCGGACGGACAGACTCAAGAACTCACGGACGGTCGGGGACATGTATACTAACATGTATGATCTATGTACTAAATTTGAATGAAATCTGACAAAGCATGTCCAAAATACAACATTTTCAAAAAACAAGATGGCTGCCAGTCGGCCATCTTTGATCCAATTGTGAAATAAATCATCACGGACATGTATCCTAACATGTATAATCTATGTACCAAGTTTGAATGAAAACTGACAAAGCATGTCCAAAATACAACATTTTCAAAAAACAAGATGGCTGCCAGTCGGCCATTTTGAATCGAATCGCTAAACCACTGCATGTGCATATGTCCCACATAAAGTACTAGGCACATGCAAAGAATGAACGGAATCGGTCCAAGGGATTCTGAGATATGACTCCGGACAGACGCACAGACGCACAGACACACGGACGGACGGAGACCGAATTATAAGTCCCCGTTTTCGGACTTCGTCCGAACGGGGACTAATAATAGTCCCGCTACCTTAAGGCGGGTCTGTAGTTTTGGCACCTGAGAGATGCAATCCAACATTTCAGTGATGTCCACAAAAGGCCAAATATTTACTTTACCCAATACATCTTTTTAGCTAGCATGTCATTTTAGCTAATTTATCTAACCTGTAATTTCGCTAATTGAAGATGTGGCTAATTTAGAATAAAGTATATTCTCATTGGCATTTTAGCTAAATTACGATTTTGTCAATATGTGTATTGAGTCAAATTCAATAAAATGGCATGTAGCTATTTCAATGTGTTTACAGTATTCATTATAATGGCATACTTCAAGTGCAAGAAACATTCATAACACTAGGTTGAAATAAAAAAAAAATTGTATATCCAAGGCGAACATCCATTATAGTATCAAGCAATATGTTTGACAATCTGCAGCATTCAGGTCACTGTGTGAAGGGAAAGCTGAAAACTCACCTGATCTCTGTCTTTCTTTTTCACTATCATAATACTTTCACCAGAGGAATCAATTCCAGCCCTTCCAGCACGCCCTACCATTTGTTTATATTGACTACCACTCAGAAAATGATTAGCAATATATGGAGATCTCAAGATAACACTGAGGAAAATAAAAATTTACCATTCAAATAAATAGTCAAGTTGACCTATATGTACATGTAAAGGTCTCTGCAACTATGTATGTTGGTTCACACCACCAGCAGTTGAACTAGAGCTACAAATGAGTGCACATATAAGTCCTTACCATTTTATATGCAAGTTCACACCAGCAGTTAAAGTAGAGGTACTAGTGAGTGCACATAC